ACCTGTGCTGATTGTCCGGGTGCTGGATGTGGTTTTCCCCAGCCTCACTTGCTGCTTCCTGTCTGTCAGAAAGCTAGTAATCCACTGACAGGTGGGGGCAGGCACAGTGAGCTGGGTCAGTTTTGAATGGAGGATGTCCAGGATGATGGTGTTGAACGCCGAGCTGAAGTCCACAAAGAGGGTCCGTGCTTACGTCCCTGGGGAGTCGAGGTGTTGCAGGCTGTAATGCAGTGCCATGTTAACTGCATTGTCCACTGACCTGTTTGTTAGGTAGGCAAACTGCAGGGGGTCTAACAGGGGGTCAGTGATGTCTTGCGGGTAGGCCAGCATCAGTCTTTCAAAGGACTTCATAACTACAGATGTCAGGGCAACAGATCTGTAGTCGTTCAGTCCACTGATGGAGGTTTTCTTGGGGACTGGAATGATGGTGGAGCGTTTGAAGCAGGAGGGGACTTCACACAGCTCCAGTGACCTGTTGAAGATAAGTGTGAAGATGGGGGCCAGCTGATCAGTGCACACTTTCAGGCAGGAGGGGGTCACACCATCAAATTATTTAAGATTTTTGGGGTTTTGCCTGGTTTGGGAATTAAAGTTATTAAACCTTGTTTCATTGTAGGGTGAAAATTCAGATTATTTATTGCTTCATTCAACATGAGAGAATGAGGAACGGAGAGTATTACAGGTTCTTTAGAAGGTCCCAAAAGTGTTTATAAAAGTTGGCAGTAAAACCGTCATTACCTGGAGCTTTATTTAATGATAAAGCTTTAACTGCATTATCCAATTCATCTGGAGAGACACTGGCATCGCACATCTCTTTAAAGTCCTTGTCAATAAGGGGAGTCAAACCTTTGATGTGATTGAAAAAGGAGTCTGCATCCTCATTCGAGTTAGCTGAGGTATATAGTTTAGAGAAAAAGGAGACAATTTCCTTGGCAATCAAAATTGGGTCTGTAATAAGACTGTCATCAACTAGTAAAGTTTTTATTGCATTTTTTTCCTGTCTCCTCCTCTACAAATGACAGAAATATGATGTACTTTTTTTGCCCTGCTCCATCCATTTTGCTCTGGATCTTATGTAAGCCCCTTTTGCTTTCCTAAGATATAATTCATCAAGCTTCAACTGTAGGGTATGTAGAAGGTGTTTATCATTTTCAGAGGGGGAAGTTTTATTGCAATAGGTGTTTATGTCTTTGACTATGGCGATTTCTGCTGATTTGTTATTTTTACTGATGATTTTCCCACACTGAATGTCGAATTCTCAAAATTTAAATTTCAAGAGTTCCCATTTAGATACTGTATGTAGGATGTCACAGAGTTATCAGTCATTATGTTAAGGATGATGGATTTAATACCATCACAAAATATTTGGGATGAGAGTATAAGCTCTGTTTTATGTACAAAG